TATCTATCTATCTATCTATCTATCTATCTATCTATCTATCTATCTATCTATCTCTATATCTATCTCTATATCTTATCTATCTACACACACACACACACACACACACACACTCAAAACTATGAATCAATCTTTCCCCAACCTTGTGTACAACTCACAGAATTCCTGGCCTTTGTGCTGTGCTAGCAAATAATTTTGAGAGTTCTAACGTAGTGCATCTGTAGGGCACGTGGTTGGGGTAGATTGATCTTTCTAATACATAGACTGCATTTACATTTTTCTGCAGTCCGTTTTCTGTATGGACTGCTTAAACTAAACTTTATCTTTTTCATTTCCCTTTTATCAGGTTTCTGATAAACCGTCTTCCTCATCAACACCTCCAAGGTACAATTGCTTTATGACGAATAAGAGGGAATAGGGGGAGGGAGAGCTTGATGTAAACATTCACTATGTGTAACTAGAAATTTCTGTAAAAGCATTCAGAGAGTAGGAAAAGTTAAAAGAGACGAGTTAAACTTTTCATAGAGATTTGTAAGGCTGATTTGAAACCAATCTAAGTTATTAAAACTTGGAAAAATACTGAGTGTTTCTTGACCTCAACACTGTGATGATAAGAACGAACAAAACGATATGTCCTTAATAATTCACTGAACATCCAGTTTGCAGAAGGGATAGTAAATATAGTAAATATGATATGAAGTACCTGTTATGTATGCTTATATCAGTTCCATGGAGGAAATTTGAAATAATGCATGTTCAGAAGTGTACTTATTATTTTCAGAGTAGTCTCAGATATTGCTAAATAATGTAACCTTGCCTTGCTGTAAAATACAATATGGTTTAAAAATCAGGACCTGTTTTCAGTTAATTGTTCTTCTCCCTGCCTTTTTCCAGCATACTAGCCATTTCATTCCTTGTTGGCATTGTATTTTATTGCAAGTATACTGAGGTCATTGCAGTGGCCTAGAGGTGGAGTTCTCGCCTCACAATCCTATTTCTCTCCCTGGGCACAATGAGAATATATCTGCTGAACAAAACTCCGCATTGGCGACAGGAAGGGCATCCAGCCAGTAAACTCTCAGCTCCATTCAGTTGCCCAGACTCCACCCTGCAAGGGATTATGGGCTCTTAAAAGAAAATAATGATACTGAGGTCATTGTCCCAGGGTCACATAATCAGCTTTTGCGATCTTCTGACAAGGGAAGTCAGTGGGGAATTCAGATTCACTTAACAACCGTGTTAAGAAGAATGGTAGTGTTTCACTTAAGAACTGTGGCAAGAAAGGTTGTAAAATAGTGTCAACTCATTTAACAGCTGTCTTGCTTATCAATGGAAATTTTGGTCTCAGTTGTGGTCGTAAGTCAAGGACTACCTATATCACCTTCATTCTGATCTGCAGTAAAGTAACTAACCTCCTTGAGCAGTATCCATAAGCTTAAAAACAAAACAACAAACTAAGCCAGCATCTGAGAATCCAGGATGCTATCTCAGTTAGACATGTATAACATGACAAAAAAACTTGGAATAAAAAGTTTTGCCAAAACAGTAAAAGCTTTACAACTAAACTGTGAATTTGAGCTTGAGGGTATTTATCTGTAAAAAAATGTGTTTCTGCTTCCTCAAAATATAAACAGTGTAAGTTTTGAGCAGCATCCTTTAGGATAAAAGTATTGATTCCAAATGCAGCTTATTTTTTGGCATATTTCCCAATTAGCTGTTTAAGCAACTGCTAATGTTTCACACCATTATGCCTGAACTTGACACTAATAATTACCTTGTTCCTGAAACTGTTGCATTCTTCAACTGTAGACCTGGAATTAGCAGAAATTTTGCCTTTAAGCGATGCAAAATCCACTAGTGTGGGCAAAAATGAAAAAACAACAACTCATTTTTTAAAAAAAATTACATTAGAAAAGTATATGCATGTTAATAGTCCCCCAAAAGAAGCACACACAATCAAATCTCAGAATAAAAGGAGATTACAGTTTAAATATGGAGTGAGGAGAAAGAATAACTTCAAGCTGTTTCGTGTGTGGGAAGTTCAGTAACGAGCCATTAATTATATTGAAGTCAAGCGATAGGTTTGAGTTGAATGCAAGGCATGTTTCAACATGTAAACCTTCAAATGGGAGCATTTTCATCTAATTTGATATTCTGCTAGGCATTGCTTCACTTGTGCTACTCCAAATGCTTGCTATTGTTGGAAAAATGATCATAGGCTGTTTTGGATTGGTGTGTGTGTAAAAATAAATTAATGCTGAGGTTTCTGATCATATGAACATGATAGTAAAGCTGTGGCCCAGTAGGTTTCACTGAAGGGTCTAGGACAGGGGTGTCAAACTTGTGCCCCACGGCCCAGATGTGTCATGCACTGGCCACGCCCACACCCAGTTTAGCAAAGGGGGGGAGTCGCAATACATCACGTGATGACAATGTGACAACGTGAGTTTGACACCCCTGGTCTAGGACAACTCGCCACAGTCAACTCGCCACGGGACAAGAATTACACTAATATCAAAGAAACGGTGGAATAGAATCATTAAAGAAATGGTGTGAAAGGAGGGACAAAATGAAATACAAATGATAAAAAAATTAACATATTTTTAAAAATTATTTTAAATTACTAAATGGAATTGTTGAATTATCCCAGGGCAAGTTGGCCAGTAGTCAATTGTCCCATTCTGTTCACAGAAGCCTCTCCCTGATGTTATCTCACTGATCCCGAGTTTGAACTGGGGAACCACAGGTAGTCCTCACCTTATGAGTACACTTGGGACCAAAATTTCCCTTGCTAGGGAAGGTAGTTGTTAAATGAGTTTCACCAATGTTATTACCTTTTCTCCACTGAGCTGCTGCAAGAGTCCAGGCAAGGGTTAACTCCATCTCGTATGTCATTGGACTGAGTCTATCAATCTGCATAGTCCCGCCTCCATTACTGGTTTCCCCCAGCTTTCGACTCAGTCCCTTGTCAGGACTAGATGTGTCACATGGTCGTTAAACAAGCCCTGGCTTCCTCCATTGATTTTGCTTGTTGGAAGTCGCAAGGAAGGTTTGCAAAGGCCAGTTACATGACCATGGGATGCTGCAACCATCATAAATACATGCCAGTTGCCAAACGGCTGGATTTCGATCATGTGACCAGAGGGAATGCTGTGATAGTCAGAAGTGTGAGGATTGGTCATAAGTCACTTTTATAATGCTGTTGTAACTTCGAATGGTCACTAAACAAAAGGTTGTTGGTCAAGGACTACCTATAAGACAAATACCACAGGTGTGAATCAGCCCAAAACAATAACTTACCTCATCAAATTGGCCTCATTTCTAGAAATGCTTAGTAATTTTTTAAAAGTAAAGGTTTCCCTGTCAGTTGTATCCGATTCTAGGGCACGGTGCTCATCTCTGTTTCTTGGCCAAGGGAGCCAGTGTTGTCCAAACACAATTTCCATGCCAACATGATTAAGCCAAAGGCACATGGAATGCTGTTAGCTTCCCACTGAAGTGGTGTCTATTAATCTAATAGGTAGAGGCTAAAACATATAGAGAATGCTTGCTGGAATTGGGTATGTGTAGTTTAATGAAAAGAAGGACTAAGGGTGACATGATAGTGATGTTCCAATATCTCAGGGGCTGCCCCAAAGAAGAGGGAGCCAAGCTATTCTCCAAAGCACCTGAGGGCAGGACAAGACGCAATGGATGGAAACTAATCAAAGAGAGAATCAACTTAGAACTAAAGAGAAATTTCCTGACAGTTAGAACAATTAATTGGTAGAACTGAAAGTCTGTCGAGATTCTCAGTCATCCAGGTCATGGTTGTCCCAAAGGTGCTTTTTCAGGAGGCAACTGGACTTTCTTGCTTTTTTTCTTTTTGAAGATGTTTCGCTTCTCATCCAAGAAGCTTCTTCAGCTCTGACAGGATCCTTCCATTTCCCACTATTCTGTCAGAGCTGAAGAAGCTTCTTGGATGAGAAGTGAAACGTCTTCAAAAAGAAAAAACAAAGCCCAGTTGCCTCCTAAAAAAGTACCTTTGGGACAGTGGAACTGAAGTTGTAGATGCTCCAACACTGGAAGTTTTTAAGAAGAGATTGGGTTTTGTGCCTGAGCAGGGGGTAGGACTAGAAAACCTCCGAGGTTTCTTCCAACTCGATTATTCTGTTAATCTACTTGCATTTGCATGTTTTCAAACTCATAGGTGGGCAGGAGCTGGGACAAAGTCTTTAACCACTGAGCCATCGCGCCCACTAAGTAATTATTTAGCATTCAAGTACTTATTAAAGTACTAATTCCCATTATTTTAAATGTATATTGACTGGATAAAGAAAGAGTTAGAAATTAAATGTTATGCTTTTACTCCCACCAAGCGCTGATGGTATATTAAGAATAGAGCAAGTAACGTGCGCTCACGAGCACACATTCTTTGTTAAATACGTGCTGTAATGAGTGAGGGCCTATTGATTCACTCAGTGACTGCAACTCCATTAGCTATTACCCAAATACTGCAGGAAGAAGAGAGGCTCCAGGTCAGCGGAAGAGCGCATTCTTTGTAGGAAGATGTATGTTTCTATGCCTGGCACTTCAAATATTTCTTTGGATAGACAGAGAGGCTAGATTGTTCTCCCAAGAATGCAAACTATGCAAACTTTCTGGACAATAAACTTCCTGCAAGATGTGGAATTCATTTTGAATAAGTATGTCTAAGATTGAATTTTGAAACAAATAAAATTGATTTCTCATATGTGCATGGACTGAAGAATTTTTTATTTGGAATAATACAGAACGGGGGAAAAGGATAAAAATAGAAGGTTGCAGACAGATATATGACACTTTTCTTCAGGAAAATACAGGGAGTCATGACAGCAGCAAGGCTGTTCTATGCACAGAAATCCCCACAATAGAAGAAATGGCTGATGGAGTTAGCAGAGGTGGCTAAATTGACTGCTTTTATCAAAGAAAAAAATACACACTTTCATTTCTACTCGGAAACCACTTCTAGGCTTTATGCTTGAGGTGGAAAAAAAATGAAACTTTGATTTTGGGTTTTACTGATCAGATAGATTTTTTGTTATAGAAATGTTTAAACTATTATGTAGAAGTAAAAAGTTGAGATATGATGTTAATTCCTTATTCTACTGCACCAAAGGGAGTCGGAAGTTTTCACCTTTTCTTTCCCTCACTTTTCTGTTCTCTTTCTCCTTCCCTATTTTTCCTGTTATTTACTTTTGTATTTTCTTTGTGTGCTGATTATAAACTGATTAAAACATTGTTAAACATGGGGAGGAAAATACAGGTAGTCCTCAACTTAATCATTCATTTAGTAACGTTCGAAGTAAAACGGAACTGAAAAAGTAACTTATGACCATTTTTCACACTTATGACCGTTGCAGCATCCTATGGCCACATGATCAAAATTCAGGCGCTTTGCAATTGGCTCATATTTATGACCGTTGCTGTGCCCCAAGGTCATGTGATCCCCTTTTCCGGCCTTCTGACAATGGGGAAGCCAGATTCATTTAACAACTGTGTTACTAACGTAACCACTGCAGTAATTCACTTAAGCATGGTGAGAAAGCTTGTTAAATGTGGGAAAGTTCACTTAACAACTTTCTCACTTAGCAACAGAAGTTTTGGGCTCAATTGTTGTTGTAAGTCGAGGCACAGCCAGCAGCATGTTTCGGCAGTTACATTTAAAAGCATTCAAGTTTCCAGCAGTTACATCACTCAACAAGCCTAATTATGGAAATCTCCCTCTTTGTTGTTGTGTGTATTTTTATTTTTAGCAATGTCCTTCTTGGTCTCCAAAATCTGACTAAAGATCTTCCTTCATTCTTGGCTCTTGACATTGATTGGTGAACAGTGGTGTCATGTTTGCAAATTGTGCTGGTTGAACTATTTCGCCTCACGGGGCCACTGCGTCAAGCGGAAGAGGAGAATTCAGAAAGACGATCCGCGCCCATTTCTAATTTTATCCCCTGGTTTTGGTTTGCAGTGCCCCACAATCGCAGCCCGAGAGTGTGGCATTGGCTCATTCCAGCAGTGCAGAATCCGAAAGCACAAGCGACTCAGACACTTCCTCCGATTCTGAATCTGAAAGCAGCTCTAGTGACAGCGAAGGAACTGATCCGCCAACAAGAGTCTCGACACCTGAGGTACAGCGTCCATTTTCTAAATGTGTCCTTTGTTTAGTCTGGATCGGTATTTCTCAACCATGGCAACTTTTTAAGATTTGTGGAGTTTGACCCCCATAATTCCCTATCCAGCCATGCTGGCTGAAGAATTCTGGGAACTGAAGTCCACACATCTTAAAGTTGTCACAGTTGAGAAACTCTGTCTAGACCAGTGGTGTCAAATTCAAGATCCACGGGCCGGCTCTGGCCTGTGAGGCCGCCCTGGAAACAGCAAAGGACCAGCCCATGGTGTCTCTGCTGATAAAAACAGCCACACACGGCCCTCCTGAGCTCCATTTTCACTGGCAGAGGGTTGCAGGAGGCCGCCACAGCCAGAAACAGAGCTCAGGAGCCCGTTTTCACTGGCAGAGCGCTCAAGCCACCACAGGCACCCTGGACATACTTCGATGTTGAGGTGGCACCACTCACCCTGGCCATGCCCACTCCAGCCCCACGAGGTCAAACATATAACCCTGAGATCCTCAATGAAATCTAGTTTGACACCCCTGGTCTACACAGTTATTTCCTTTTTGATGTTTTTCTCCCTCTTTGTACAAGAACATGTTAGACAACTATTCTTACTATGTTTTGGATAGTTTTGCACCATTTCCCTATTTTCTACACTACCTCTGTTAAGCAAGCAAGGCCAGCACATACTGCTGGGGCGTCCACATGGAACCATCAGGGCTTGCAGCTAGAAGTTACACAGAACAAAGAGTTAATGATTTTTCCTTTTCCTGATACCCCCCAAGAAAAAATTGCTGCAATACAACTCCTGGCTATTGGCTATGCCGATCAGGAATTATAGAGTTTACAATCCAACAGAACACAAGGCCAGTCATTTCATGAAAACTATTGTAGTTAATGGGGAACTGCTAATTCCTCAAAAAGAGTTAAATATAGGGTCAGGATATTAATCAGTTGTTCTGGTGCCTTTTCATTTGTTGAATGAAATAAGAGAAATGGGAAAAGGCTTGTTTTTCACTGGCCAACTGAACAGTCTACAAACTTTTTTCACAGAAAAGCTAGATAGTTGTACACAGGAATACTAATTCAGAAATATTGCTAACTGGGATTGGTCTCATTGCACAAGCACACACACACTTATATATCTGTAACACACGGTGGTATATCTGCATATCCTGTAGTTGCATTCCTCTTTGGTAAGCAATGATTTGTAAATTCCTTGAGCCCCTCCCTGAAGAAGATAGATGGTCTAGAACAGGGGTGTCAAACTCGATCTCATTGAGGGCTGCATCAGGATTATGTTTGACCTCGAGGGTCCAGGGTGGGCATGGCCAGCTCATCATCACTCATTTTATTTATTTTATTTATTTTATTTGGTTTGTCAGTTGCTTACAAGATAATAGGTATAAGTAAAAACATAGTTATGCATATATGGATACATATAAGAAAAATAAAAGAAAGAATAGGACAGGGACGGTAGGCACGTTGGTGCACTTATGCACGCCCTCTACAGACCTCCTAGGAAAGGGGTGAGGTCAATAGGTTGAAGTTTTTGGGGTTTGGGGAAGAAACCACAGAGTCAGGTAGAGTATTCCAGACATTGATCACTCTGTTGCTGAAGTCGTATTTCCTGCAATCAAGTTTGGTGCGATTAACCTTGAGTTTGTATCTATTGTTTGCTCTTGTATTGTTATGGTTGAAGCTGAAGTATTCATTGACAGGTAGGACATTGCAATGTATGATTTTATATACTAAGATTGGACCGAAGGCGGCATAGTTCTAGGTTTTCTAGGTCTAGAATTTCAAGTCTGGTGGCATAAGGTATTCTGCAATGAGTAGAGGAGTGGAGAACTGTTCTTGTGAAATATTTCTGGACTTTCTCAACTGTGTTAATATCAGATACGTAATGTGGGTTCCAGACTGATGAGCTGTATTCAAGTATTGGTCTAGCAAATGTTTTGTATGCTTTAGTTAGTAGTGTAATATTACCAGAGAAAAAGCTACATAAGATTAGGTTAACAACTCTTAATACCTTTTTGGCTATGTAGTTACGGTGGGCTCTAGCATTTAGATCATTAGAGATGAGTACTCCAAGGTCCTTGACAGAGTTTGGATCATCAACAAGGTCTTGACTATTCAGCTTGTATTTTATTTTCTGATATATTTTTTTTGCCAATATGTAAGACAGAGCATTTATTTGTTAAGATTTGAAGTTGCCATTTGTTTGACCATTCTGATACATAGTCAAGGTCTTTTTGAAGGGTAGCAGTATTGTTGAATAGCTTTACATCGTCAGCGAATGTATCTTGAATATTGTTGTGTCGGTGCTTGTGGTGGCCCAAGGGCTGTGCCAGCAAAACGGGCTCCCAAGCTCCGTTTCTGGCTGCGACTGTCTCCTGCAATCCTCTGCCAGCAAAAACGGAGCTCGGAGGCTCTCCTCAGCTCTGTTTTCACTGGCAGAGGTACCTTCACTGTTTCCAGGGCAGCCCCATGGGCCAGATCTAAGCATCCCAGGGCCAGATCTGGCCCTGGGCCTTGAGTTTGACACCCGTGGTCTAGAAACACAAAGTATAAATAAATAAATTAAAAATTCATGGTAGATGTTATTCCGCCATCTGGAGCCATTTTTAAAGAAAACTTGTATAATGATAAGCGCTGAAAAAATTGCAGTGTGCCTGAACTTTGGCCCGTTAATTATATCCTCTGTGAGGCCATTTATCATCTATCATCTAGCATTCTAAGTCATTCTCTGAATATAACTGTAACGTTCTCCAGGTTTTGGCTATCCACAAAACATCACTTGAAGTTGGATCAAAGTTGAATCCATGCTGGATATGTGGGTTACTCAGCACCCCAACTCTATTTCTAAATTTGAACTCAGGCCTTTTTATCCTCCCTGTTTTGGTTGCTTTTGTGTGCATTTAGCAGACAGTACAACATTCAAAACATAACCCTTTAAGAAAAAGTTTTAAAAGTTAGTTAAGGATTTGCATGGAACATTGAGTTCTGTAAGCAAAGTTCTTTCTCCTCCTGTTATTATTTTTTTTTCCTCCTCGGACTTGGGTGGGCTCCATAATTTTACTTGGCTTGGTTTCTTCACTTTTGGAGACTTCCAGTGACCTACTTGGGAAATCAAAACAGGAAAAAAGCACCAGTTTCATAATTAAAAGCAGGCCTAGGTTGAAACGACTTCAGGAACAAAAAAGAAATGTTGACTTCATCATCTGTTGCCCTAGAATAGTGACATGTTGAAGGAATTTTGGATCGATGCAAAAAAATTGATAGAGAACACTTTTTCTATGGACACGTAACATAATTTTTGCCAAGGCAGCAATTCTGTATCTGAAATTATCCTACTTTGGGGGAAAATGAATGATATCATTCTTTACACATAGAAAACAACATAGCTTGTGGGGAACAAATAGTCTTATGTACAATTCTTTTATTGGGATGTTTATATGCTTTGTCTCTTTTTTATATTGTATTTTATTTTATGGGTTTTGTTTTTAATTGCAAACTGACCAAAATCATGTACTAAATATGGACTGCTATATAAATGAAGGTTATTAATTTAACTAAATGAGTGTTTAAAGCAGGGGTCCCCAAACTTGGCAACTTTAAGACTTGTGGACTTCAAGTTCCAGAATTCTCCATTCAGCTATGCTGGAGAATTCTCCAGGCAGCCATGGAGACTTCTGGTTTAAAGTCTTGATAACGTACAAAAAGAAAGGAAATGGAGATGGAAGGGAGGAAAACAAAAATTGAATTTTTAGTTCTATTTGACAATGGATGAGACCAGATTCTTTCCTCCTATTCTGAAGAGATCTTCATCTATCTGACGGTTTTAGGTATTCTGGTTAATGGGAGATGCCAAAAAGATGCCTCCCTTCAAAATCTGCAAGCCCTCCAAAAATCAGACATTTACTTAAATGTACATGTAATCCTTGACTTACAACAGTTCATTTAGTGACCGTTCAAAGTCACAACGGCGCTGAAAAAAGTGACTTATGACTGTTTTTCACATCTATGACCGTTGCCATATCCGTATAAGTCATGTGATCAAAATTCAGGCACTTGGCAACTGTAGTGTTCTGAGGTCATGTGATCCCCTTTGGCGACCTTCTTACAAGCAAAGTCAATGGGGAAACCAGATTCAATTAACAACCGTATTATTAACCTAACAATTGCAGCCATTCACTTAACAACTGTCGCACGAAAGGACATAAAATGGGGCAAAATTCAGTTAGCAAATGTTTCATTTGACAATAAAAATTTGGGGTTCCCTTGTGGTCGTAAGTTGAGGACCACCTGTACTTAGTGAGCTTTTATTTTCAGTTTTAAAACTTTTAAAGTCCAATTGCCTTTTGGAAAAAGCACCTTTGAGACGTTAGAACGGTCAGCATGCTTTTACCCAACAGCCACCCCCGTAAATTTGCATGGTGTGTATGTGTGTGTGTGTGTGTCTCACAACTCGTGTCTGGATCCAGCCCTTTCAAACTCTCAATATTTCTTCCATTTGGCTTCTCTTGACATTCCAAATTCAGTCCTGTTCTATTCTGGTTTGGGAGAATTATCCTGCTGATAGAGAGGATTGAAAAGAATAAATAACAAGTTAGAGGAAGCCTGCAGATTCTGTCTTGTAGAATTCTTTTCAACCCCTTTGCCAACCGTGGCCATAGGAAGTGTCTGCATTTTTTCCTGTGTAATGAAACAATAGTGTGTGTGCTTGTGTGTGTGTGTGTGTGTGTGTGTGTGTGTGTGGTGTTTCTGCTTTCCTGACCAGAAAGGCAGATGGGGCTTAGAACCGAGATACATTGAGGAAGATATTCTGGAATGTTTTTCTCCACAGTGAATTTGGCTCATTTTCAACTTCTATCTTTCTGTTGCCAGTTTGCCCCCTAACTCCTGCATTCCATTCTGTTCAGTGTTTGGAAAGCTATCCCACTGACAGACACATGGAGCCCCAACCCCTCTTTACAATAATATGTTTCCTATATCTTGTTGGATGGGAAAAAAGAATGGCAACTTGTATTTTTTTCCCTATCCCCTTTTAGCATCTTCCCTGCATAGAGGGAAACATTCAAACTTAGATGGCTAGGTAGAAAGATTTAGGTCTCCTTGGAAACCTTAATCATTGTCACATGGGTACAATAATCAATCATTATCACATAAGTAGAACATAGCTCAGCCTTCTCCAAAATCAGTGTCTTTTGAAAATAAGGACTTTTAAGTTCCCAGACCCGACAGTGAGAATTTGGAAAGTCCCCAGTTGAAGAAACTGCTAAACTAAACCCCAGTAAAAACTTGAAGGGTATTTTCCGCATTTCATATTTAATATATCCCATTGTTTAGCCTTTAATGATAATAGGTATGTGGTTGCACATAACGGAACAGTCCTGGCAGGGGTGTTTTGATGATATTTTGATGAGCCATTCAGGGTCATGTTGGGGTGGTGTTTCATGCCTTAGGAGACAATAAGGGGAAATAATCACTTGAAGAAGCAAAGATTCCTCTGGATGGCACATTCTGTTTTTTGTAGAGTACACTTTTTTCTCTGGACATGTAGCGTAATTTTTACCAAGGTAGCAAAAATTGTTGTTGTTTGTTTCCGTATTTGTTCACTTGGAAATACAGTCAACAGACTTAGATTAGATTAGATGAACAGAGTTGGAAGGGACCATTTTGGTCATCTAGTCCAACTCCCCATCCAAGCAGGAGACCCTACACCATTTCTGACAAATGGCAGTCCAATCTCTTCTTAAAAGCTTCCAGGAATGAAGCTCCCACAACTTCCAAAGACAACTTCTGTTCCATGGGTTGATTGTTCTTACTGTCAGGAAATTTCTCCTTATTTCCAGGATTCAATAGTCATGGTCTATTGTGATTCATCAATGTCTTCGTTCAAACTAGAGTGCAGAAAATCGTTAATTTAAAGCAGGATTCCATGCAACTTTTGATGACGCGTGTTCATTTTTTCTTTCCTTTTCTTTTCCATAGCCTGATCCACAAACATCCAACAGATGTTGGCAGCTGAACAACTGGCTGATCAAAGTAAGCCAGCCAGTATCTCCCACAGAGAGTTTCTTGGAAGATGACCATAGTCGAAGCAACGTCCAGGAGAGCAAAGGACAAGGAAAAACTGTCAGCTCTAGCAGTGGTAATGGAGGCAAAAGGGAATGTCAGATGAGCGATGGTCATTCCAAACCCGGCAGCAGAGTGTCTCGGTCAACTCAAGATGTACATCTCCCTACCAAACGCAGTTACCAAAAGACTCCTGTGGTCCCAGAAGAGCCTCTCCACCAGACGGTGGGCAGTAAGCAACCCAGGAAATCCAGCAAAGCGACAGTACAGGAGGAACCAAAGAGAGGCCTGACAGTGGAAAGTGAACCACTGGGACTGTACGGGGCCAAAGACCAGTCTTCCAAAGACAAGCCTAAGGTGAAAACGAAAGGGAGGCCGAAACCGGACGATAAGAAGGAATCGAAACCAACTGCCCCAGAAACCACTGAGAAGAAAAAACACAAAACGCTTAAAACCTTATTTGCTCACGATGACACAAAAGTAGATGTGGCGGGAAGTGCCCTGGAACCATTGCCCCTCAGTCCTCTCGGTGAAAGCCCGAGGGTGGTTACTACTAGTAGAACTAATGGTGGCTCCAAGGTGTCTGTTACTGTCAAGGAAGAACTTCAAAGAGACAAATATATTTTGCCTATCAGAGATAAGAAGTTGCTGTCGCCCTTGAGGGATTCCCCCGTCCCGCCAGGGCTTGTGGTTAAAATTGAGCTTGCTCTCCTCTCGCGGATCCCTCAGCCAGGCGAGAAGGGGCTCTTCCCTAAAAAACATGAACTTAAAGACAGCCATGGTATGACAAAGCAGGGTATCGACAAAAGAAGCACAGATGCACCAAGCAAAACTCTGAAAAAGAGAAAGGTAAGACACTTTGGTGGAGGATGGATGGCTCTAGCATTGACAAGATATGGTAAAGCTAATAATCCGTGAATTTATACTCTTAGGGATTGTAGCTCTGGTCTTTTTGCATTGCATGGATTATTATTATTTTTTGGAACAAATGTTATTAATTTTTAAAGACATACAAAACATAAATACACAGAAACACAAAACATAAAAGCATAAAAAATTCTCTTTTCTGAAAGTTGCTTAGTCCCGGGTTAAAACTCTTGATACAGACACAAATTCAAATTCATATTCATTTTATATACCATTCCATATCTTGTTAGCATTTTCAATTTTCTATATAACTTCTCCTCTCTTTTAAATTTTCTCAATTTTATTTTATTTATCTCCTCTCAATTCGAATCATAATATTTATTATTCTTTGTCTGTTCTATTTCCAGCTATCCGTTTATCTTTCTTCTTTGAAAAAAAACTTCTCCTGTACACTAAATGGAGTATGATGCCTTTATCTCTTTCCCCTATATTTATAATACTTAATATAAAACACATAACTTACATTAGGATTCTGTCTGGTACGTTCTAAAATTATACAGTATTATCAAAACCAATACAAATCTATTCATTAATATTGATATTCATTTATGTCTTAAACATTTAACACATTATTTTTCAGTTAAATCACATACTTTTATGGGAGCACCTATTTTCCAAAGTTATTCCCCCCCCCCACGTCACATTATAAATCATTATTTCATTACAATGTTCCCCTTTCTCCTACTTCAAATCTCTCATTTCACAAAGTTTCACTAGAGTAACATAGTCTAATCATTAATATTAACAATCATTTATATCTTAAAAATTTTACCCATTTCAGTTAAATATCATGCCTTTGTGGGAACACTTATGCTTTCCAAAATTATTTCCCCCCCCCCCACATCACATATCTTAAATCATTGTTCCATTACAGTACTCCCCTTCTCTTAACAAAAATTTCACTAGATTATACTAAATATTTTATCGCATTTTAAATTACATATTATTTCTAATTTTCTATGGTTATTTCTAAATACAAATATAGAAATGCAATCTTATGTACCTTTCTAGAATCCCTTTTTCAATAAAATTTATCCATTATCTCTAAAAAACTTTTGCTTCTTTACAACTTGCTCCCCACCATTAAGGCTTCTCATCCCTTCCTTTCTCCCTTGCTTCTTCTTCTCCTTGTCCACTTTACCCCCTTGTCTCTCCACCTCCCTTTTATTCTGCTTTCCCCCTTTCTGTTGTTTCCTAACATAATGTCCCCTTTTCACCTTATTCTTCTCTTCTTGGGTTGCTTTTCCAGATCTTAAAGTGTTCTTTTCCTTTTTCTCTTTCTTTTTCCCTTTTCTGACCAAAGTTATTTGTTCATCAAAGATGGCTTCTTCTTTGTCCCCATCATCCTGTTGCTCATTCAGCTTTACATAAGTATAAACAGCCATTTCTAAAAATTGAAAAAGAGTGCCAAGGACATCTTTCCCTTCTTGCTTTTCTTTTTCATATTTTTGGTATACAAGTTTCAGTCCATCCACAAGTGATGCCATTGTGCAGAGAAAAAGTTTTCCCAAACAACCACCCGAGTGCTTTTAATCAGAAATAATTCTCAGAAGTTCCAAAATCACCAAAAAATCCAAACAGGCTGTTTATTTTAAATACTTTCTCCTTCTTCACTTTCTCTTTCTGGGGTTAAAGTTTAGTCACAAAATTCCCTTTAAAATATCTCTTTTAGAAGTCTTATTGGTGTTTAGTAACTCTTTAAAAATCTAGGCAATCTTCTCCTTATTTTCAATTGCTCCAATTTTTTTTTCCCCTCTCCCTTCCCACTCACAGCCAAAAAGATTTTTTCCATCTGCTGTCACGTTAGGAAGGAGAGTGAAACGAAAGAAAAAAAAACTTTCCCTTTTAGAATGTTCGCAGCTTGTAACTCTTACTAGGAACAATGTATCCTTAGCAGCCTTCAAGATTCAGGGCACTTTCTCTTGCCTTGTCCCAGTTGAAAGCAACTTTCATTTCTTCCAGCTTTCTCCCTCCTGCACCTGCTTGTCCGGCTGTAGATTTCTTCGTGGCGGCCATTACTGACCGCCGCTCGTCTGTCTTGGGAAAAGGGGGTTTTGCTGGCTGGGGAGGAGGTCTGCAACGCCCCCAAACACCTGTCCGGATCCCCCCTGTCTTCAGCTGCCTCTACGGGGCAGCTATATTACCCAGATCCAAACGGATCGGGGGAACCTTGACAGCGAACGCAGCAGGGATCGCGCAGTATCACGAATCCCTGCCGCTGCTGAAACCTGCAAACCGGAAGTCCCCATTGCATGGATTATTGAAACCAGAGAAAAATAAAATTGCAATTAAAAAAAATCAACATCGTCAACAGGAAAAAAACTTGTAATAGGGCTTGAAACTGGCTATGAAACTTTGGACTTATGTTTAAATAGGTATTTAGTGTCGATCTATGTAAATTCACAGGAGAATCCATTCTTCCCTCCATTGAGAAAATGGCCTATTTTAATCCTTGTTTATGGTGGTGGTGTGTGAAGTTCTGATTGACTCTCCTCAGAAGAGTCTCTGCAGATTGTATTAATGGTAATTGTTCTCACAAGATATATGTACCCAGTTGACACACTGTTGAATTGAAAGATGGATTTATCGTAAATATAAAATACAAAACTTTATTAAAAAAAGAGAAGATTCTCTGCAGATTGACGAAGTACAGACAGCCCTCAATTTACAACAGTTCATTTAGTGACCATTCAAAGTTACAACCACACTAAAAAAAAGTGACTTGTGACTGTTTTTCACAGTTACAGCCTTTGCAGTACCACGTGATCAAAATTCAGACAGTTGACAACTGACTCATATTTATGACGGTTACATTGTCCCAGGGTCATGTGATAATCTTTTGCTACCTTCTGACAAGTAAAGTCAATGGGGAAGCCAGATTCACTTCACAATCAGGTTACTAACTTATCCACTGCAGTAGTTCACCTAACAATTGTTGCAAAAAATATAAAATGGGGCAAAACTCATTTAACAAATTCTCCCTTAGCAACATAAATTTTGGGCTCAACTGTGGTCGTAAGTCAAGGACTACCAGTATTGAGAATGTTGAGTCATTAACATGGAGACTACCCAAAAAATTTACTTAGGTCATGATATGGCCTTGAACACTTGATTAATACAGTAATTGCTTAATAGTAGACTCCTTAATAGATATTCAGTGCTCCTTAATAGATATTCAGTGTTTTATTTGTGTACACTACTCACTACAAATGTTATTTTTGTTTATTTTATTTGAATTTTTCTCATCTCTGCACTAGTGTTTACACTGAAGGTAATCTCAGTGTCTTTCTCCTACTGACATTTGATTCCCGTTAAACTGACTTGATTAAATTGATTTGATTCCTGTTAAATTGGGGAACCACAATTGTTTGCTTCTCTGGCCAGTGCCATTAATGAGTGAGCCAAAGGCCTTTGTACGATGTATTTGTAGAGCAGCTTCCAGAATTTGAAGCTAGCAAGGTCAGAGATTGGTATAATTTCCAGGAGCTCAGACTTCAGATACTCTGTACTGTTAAGTTAGAAGCCACTTAACAGTTCCCATCTACATATAATTGAAACTCCCTAGAAACTTTATTCCTTAAATATACATAAAGTTATATAAAGAAATTTACTGAAACATCACCAAAAAGTTTTTTTTCCTACTTTGATCTCTTTGATTTTGGTAATGGTAGGGACTCTTCTTTTTCCTGTCATTTTTAATACTTTGTGAAGGTGTTTTTTTAAAAGCCAGTTTTGTGTTAAGGGGCTAGAAACCAGGAGAGACTATGAGTTGTAGTCCCACTTTAGGCATGAAAACTGGCTGGGTGACTTTGGGCCAGTCACTCTTAGTCCAACAGACTAAATTCAGAGGATTGTGGGGAAAATCAGAGGGAGTGGTATTTGGCATGTTTGCTGCCTTATTTAAAAGAAGGTTGGGATAAAAATTATAATAATAAAAAAAGAATGACAATTTTATAATCTTGCCTGCTGGATGATAAAATTTGCTGAGTTAGAAGTGCTATGTTGGTAATCACAATTTCAATCTCACACAAGAAAACAGCCATTAGACCCTTTGGGACTTTAGTACAGTAAGTTTAGTTATAAAGCCTGTGAGAAAAAGCTTACCAAAAAGGGGTCCTATCAGGCAGCCACCCAATCTCCCTTATTTAACTTTATGTATGTATACTTCAACTTTATTATTTTATAAGTAACTTTAGGCTGTGAAAGTCCTTAGCAGATAACAGATAGATAACAGATAACAGATAATCAGAGTTGGAAGGGACCTTGTAGGTCATCTAGTCCAACCCCCCACCCAAGTGGGAGACCCTACACCATTTCTGACAAAGGGCAGTCCAATCTCTTCTTGAAAGTCTCAGGTGATGGCGCTCCCACAACTTCCGAGGGCAAGCTGTTCCATTGGTTGATTGTTCTCACTGTCAGAAAGTTTATCCTTATTTCCAGGTTAAATCTCTCCTTGTTCAGTTTCCATCCATTATTCCTTATCTGGCCTTCAGGTGCTTTAGAAAATAGCTTGTCCTGCCCTCAGGTGCTTGGAGAATAGCTAGACCCCTTCCTCTCTGTGGCAGCCCCTCAAATATTGGAAGACCACTATCATGTCTCCCCTGGTCCTTCTCTTTACTAGACTAGCCAAGCCCAGTTCCTGCAACCGTTCGTTGTATGTTTTAGCCTCCAGTCCCCTAATCATCCTGGTTGCTCTTCTCTGTACTTTTTCTAGAGTCTCAACATCTTTTTAATGTTCTTCACTGTTCCTATTTTCCCCACAATAACAAATCTGTGAGATGGATTGAGCTAAGAGAGAATGAGTGGCTCAAAGTCACCAAATATGGCTTTCATGCCTAGAACTCAGTCTCCTGGCTTCTACCCTGGTGTCCAAACCGCTAGACTAAACTGGCTTCCAAGTTATCCTCCAAGAGAAACCATTTCCCTTGCCTTCTAAACAACGAGTCCCCTTTAGGCTGTTTTGAATTTCTGTTCCCTCTTTTCCCCCCTAAAATTTTGGTTACTGCAATTCTTGTTATCCCACCCTCTGACGATTGGCAGCAGAATGAATTAGATTTACTCTTAAGGAGGGGGAGTAGCAAGGATGGGATAACAGCTGTGCTTAGTCTTGCTTGTCACAGTGGAACTGATTGTTGCTTCTGATTGTGGCTACATGTGTGCAGCATGTTGCACAGGTGTGAAGTCAAAAAGGGATCTCTTTCTGAAGTATTTAAGGGCTGTATTTGTCTTTTTTTTTATCAGCAGGAAGAGGCACTGAGAAATGATCACAAGAAGGTCAAGCTGGAGAGAGAAACCAAATCTTCCTCATCTTTAGGCCATAAAGATTCCAGTAAAACTAAGTGAGTACAAAGCTGTTAAAACTAAGCTAGTAAAATCTAGGCTAGTAAGTAGAACACTCTGGTCCCTACTTCTGGATTAAACTTTAGTGATTTTTTTAAAATTTACGTTTTGGCTACTAGTCATCCAATAAGAACAAAGATACCACAAAATTATAATGACTTTCTCCTCAGTGAAAAATCTAGCTTCTATACAATTAAAATTGAAATTCTGCCCTCATATCACATTAAACCTTTAAACTCTGGTTGTTTAAATTAATTGTGCATCAGCAAACAATTACTCTGTCAATATTAAACATTTGTTCAAACTGTTCTTTGGATTTCCTCAGAAGCACATTGTAAATTTCAGGAGCTGCAGATAAGACACTTGTCTTTTTGACTACATAAAATTGATAATCCCTGAGTAAATCTCTTGCACGCAATCCAGGCTGGGTCTGTTTGTGTGTGGAAGCAAATGTTCCTGATCCTTTTTCTTAATGCAAAGCAGAAACATGTATTATAATAACAAGTATGTATAATAAATGCATACCTCTATTTCCATGCCCGTCCCATCACAAGCTGCCTGCAAATTGCTCACCTAGATCAGAGTTTTTCAACCATTTTAAGAGGGTGGACTTTGACTCCCGGAATTTCCCAGCCAGCTGTAGGAGTTAGATGTTCAGGACAAGATCCATTCCTGCTCCCCTCCTCAATACCAGATGAGCTGATCAACACTTGGGATAGCTTTTGGTGATAAAGAATTCTTTCAAATGACAAGGTAGACTTAAAAGGGTGGATTTGGCTAGCTTTTTGTCCTGCCTATCTGTCCTGCAACATGAGGAATGTCTGAAGACAACTTGCTTAGGTTTGCTACTGAAGTGTGCAAAACAAAATAGAATCCATGTTAAATGTGGTAGCTCTAATAGAGAGTCAGTCTTCTGCATTAAGACTGGAGAGATCTTTGGATTGGAGACACCTAGATTCAAATTATCATCAGTGTGTGCCTCAGCTGAACTTTAGCTCATTAGGAGGTAAGGTAAAGTTTGGGTGTGTGTTGTGTGTAGAGAATCATTACATTGTCTTGTGTTCTTTATAACAGAGGTAAAATATAATGGTCTACAAAATAGCTTCATTGCAAATAATCTGGTATCCATTGAAAATATAATTTAGAATGGTTACTTTGTGCAAGATTATTTTAATCAGTGCACTTGCACAATATTTTATTGTATGACATTCTAATATTTGTGCATACATATGCATGCTAATTAATTAATGGCATTTATTTTCTCTTGTGAAGACCGGCAATACTCTTTAAAAATGTGGATGCAGTAAAATAGCAATTTCTGAGGAGCAAAGCCTTGAGTTTAGAAAAGCTGATAATAAAAGTGTTTTGAAAAGAATGTGTGTCATTTAATTGGAACTGAAAATTACTAGTAATTTTAATCCCAAGTGTAAACAAGTACATTTATTGCACATCTATTTTATGTTTTATGCAAAAGTGATTATCTAAAGTTCAAAGTAAAACATTCTAAATCGTGGGAAAGTTCTTTGAATCCAACAGCTGGAACCCATCTTTGCTGCACCTAAATTTAATTTTTTTTAGGAAACCTACAGTTCGTCAATATACTTAGCTTTGGTTCAGATCAAAGATATGCCTATGTATACATTTTTACTATTACTTAGGAATATTATCCGTGTGTTAATGACTCAGCCAAAAAGTACCCAACTTTTTCCTCCCTCTGTTGCTCAAGATGATTAGTTATATGGATGTTTCAGTATCTTTTATCACCTGAACAGAACTCAGGTGCCATGCGCTTAATTTTTATTCCATCCTGCCCTCCTACAGTTTTAAAGTAATACTCCTTGGAACTCACACTGACCTGATCTTCCTTCCCTAGGATGTCGAAGCTCTCAGCAACAGAGATGCCAAGGAGAGAAATGCCACTGCCAATGCCACCACCACTGTCTCCCATGCAGCCCTCTCAGAAGCCACCTAAGACAGCTCAAAAGAGGCCAAAGAGTGAAAACGATGCCGGTTATCAGGTTCCCGGTCCCACAATCAGCACTGCCAAGAGCAAAGAGAGCCACAAAGAACCTTCATCCTCCAAGCACAAGAAACTGGAGGGGAAACCTTTGGAAAACTCCAAAAGTGACAAAGTAGGTGTAAACAACTTCCGTTGAGGGACCTTGGTAAGACTTGTAATTTTGGAAGTTGGCTTGTTCAGAAGAGCTTTTTCAAATGTGCTTCCCCCCCCCCCCTTTCAAAAGGCAACCGGACTTTGTTTTTCCTTGAAGGCATTTTGCTTCTCATCCAAGAAGTTTCTTCAGTTCTGACAGTCGGAACCTGAAGAAGCTTCTCGGATGAGAAGCAAAATGCCTTCAAGGAAAAACATAGTCCAGTTGCCTTTTGAAAGGAGGTGGGCAGAGGGGGAAGCACCTTTGGTACAACCATGACCTGGATGACTGAGAATCTCCATAGATATTCAGAGCAACAGTTGTAAAATTTGCAGATTTCACCATACAGCTAGTCCTCAACTTACAACAGTGACCTTTCAAAGTTACAACAGCATTGAAAACGGTGATGGTTTTTCATTCTTACAACAGTTGCAGCAAACCCATGGTCACCTGAACAAAATTCAGACCCTTGGCAACTGAGTTCATATTTATGACGGTTGAAGTGTCCCAAGATTCGGGGATCTCCTTTTGTGACCTCCTGAACAGCAAAGTCAATAGGGAAGCCAGAATCATTTAATAGCCGTTTGACTAACTTGACAGCTGCAGCGATTCACTTAAGAACTGTGGCAAGAAAATAGGGCAAAGCCCGAAAACTATAGTAAAGAAAAAATATATTTAATCTTACATATATTAACAGCAGCTAGAATTGTATTTGCTCAAAATTGGGAAAGCGAAAAGATTCTGATAGAGGAAGAGGTGATTATGAAAACATTGGAATGTGCAGAAATGAGTAAATTAACTTTGGCAATTAAAGAACAAAAAGAAGTGGAATATGATATGATATGGGATTTATTTTATAAATGGTTGGAAAACAAAAGTAAGAACTTAAATGAATATTGTTATAATGAAAATGTAATCATGGTAAGAAATGTATACAAAATATGAATATTTGCACAAGATATATATACCCAGCTGACACAGTGTATAATTGAAAGATGGATTTATTGTTAAATAAAATAAAAAATATTTGGGGGGGGAAAAGAAAATGGAGCAAAGCTTACTTAATTGTCTCGCTTAGCGGTAGAAATTTGAGCTCAATTATGGTTGTAAGTCAAGGACTGCCTATATAGTGAAAGTGATACGTTTCCTCTTGAATATCACAATTAATTGGATCAAAATATATCTATACATGCTGCAGGTATATTCTCCATAGTGGATATCCCAGACAGAAATTTAGATGGGAAAACAAGCGAATGTTTGAACTGTTTAAATAGAGAAGTAGAGAGGTTGTAACATATCTGCTTGCTGCATTGTTCAGAATTCATCAACTCAAGATATCTTGATGGTCAGCGGGGCAGGTGGTTTTTTTTATTAATGATTGTATAAGATACCTTTAAGTTTGTTAGTGAGTTTGTGGCATGATGGCTGAATGAGAATTTTTAACATTCAGATGCTTCAGACCAATTGAAGCACACGAGATAAAATGGTTATTGGAAGCATCTTCATTTTTAAGCATAAGATGAAATGTGCCTAATTATATGTAATTTTGGCTGATTATCTTTTGTGTGTGTGTGTGTAATTATGATGTGGCTTCCATCAAAAGCTGCAACTTGACCGAAGTTGACTTTCTGATGAGATAAGGAAAGCCAATTGTTTTTTCCAACATAACTTTTCTTACAGTCAAGAAAACAAAGTCCAATGTACAGAATAAAATAACTCAGAGTTATCAATTGATAGGATTGCTTCTCAGCTTTTGAATTTATATATTTTTGTAATTCGATTGTGACTGTGAAGATAATATATTTCTTTGTTGTGAAATTTGTCTGTGTTAGTCTCTAAAGCAGCGTTTTTCAGAACATTGTTAAATGAGTCACCGCTTCCTCCCAAATTAAAACAACCTCATATGCAGTTCATTCAGCATTGAGATAATAATGTTGGGGTATTGTTATTCCCTAGCACAGATGGATGCAAAATTGTTTCCTGTTTTGGACATTTGCAAAAAAAGATTTGTGCAATGTTTTTCTGTTGATTAAAAATGCTTTAAGTCTTTTCAAGCAGTGCAAGGCAATAAACCAAGCTTCCTCATGGTTATAAGAAGAAGAGATCAAATTAGAATATAGAATCATAGGGTTGGAAGGGACCTTGCAGGTCTTCTAGTTAAGTGGTTGCCAACCAGTGGGCCGGGGACCACTGGTGGTCTGTGAGAAAATGTTGGTGGTCTTGCAGAGAAATGTCACCCCCAAAGCACCCCCCAAAGCTATTAATCCAGGCTGCACGGGAACACAAGGCTGCGCCACCCATATGGCCCATGGGAACACAAGGCTTACATCGCTTGCATTGTGAACAACACGAGGTAGTGAGGGGATAGGGCGGAGGGGGGGAACTTGCCCCATGCGCCTGGCCTGGCCTTGCCACCGGGCTGCTTCTTTCCACTTCTTTCTTTTTGCTTTTTGCAAGGAAAGCAGCAGAAGCAGCAGAAGTCTTTCTTTCTCTCCCCCAAACTCTGCCACCCCCCCCCCGAGAATGGAACTGGAGACGGTATCCTGTGATCCCAAATAAAGAATGATCGATCGGTAGGAAAAAGGGGGTGGGGAATTTTCCTGCAGGCTTTTTTGGGGATTTTCCCAGGGTCTCTGGTCCGCGGGATTTAAAATTATGAGTTTGGTGGTTCCTGAGGTCCAAAAGGTTGACGACCCCTGTTCTTGTCCATCCCCTTGCTCAAGCAGGAGATTCTATACCATTCCTGGTTGTCCAATGTATGGGTGAAAACTCTCCAGTGATGGAACACCCACAACTCCAGAAGACAAAGCTTGTTTCATTGATTAATTGTTCTCACTGTCAGGAAATTTCACCTTAGTTCTAAGTTAAATTTCTCTTTAATGATCTTACACCCGTTACTTCTTGTCCTGCCCTCAAGGGCTTTGATAATAGATTAAAAAAAAACCTTCCCCCTCATCAGCCCCTCAACTACTGGAAGACTGCTATCATACCACATATTACATGCATCATATATTACAATTAGTAATGCTGGGGGAAATAAAAATGCATGCTCGTTGAAGAATGCAAATGTTCTGTTGTGACTTGTAATTATTTCTGAGCTACAAGTATTTGACCTTCTTCCTCTCTGTCTTTCCAGGGCTCTGCAGATGATGTCCCGAACCCCTTCCCAGTGCCTTCTTTGCCAAACGGTACCTCCAAGCCAACGAAGCCTCAAAGCAAACCTCACCGGTAAGAATATTTTCTTTTTTCTTCCAGCTGCATTATGTTGTCTTTTGAGATCGCAATTTCTCTTGTAACCTATTGGACCAGCCTGGGTTTTCACCACGGTTTTTATTTTCCTGCTGGGTTGATTTCATAAGCTCACTGAAAATGAACAACTTCACTAAATGTTTAGAGATCTTTGGGCTGTTCATTCAAAACTGTGGAATGAAATGTGTATGTGATATATCTTGGCTATTTTGCAAAACCCTTTTCTCTCTGGTTTATTTCAGACAACATCCAATAGAATTTCACTTAAAGGAAGCCAAAAGATTGAAGCACAAAGCTGATGCAATGGTAAGTTTGCTTGCAGAGAAGTTGCAAGTGTATATGCTCGGCTCCAAATAGTACAGTTAACCTGAGGGATTGCTAGATAAAGCAAACCCATGTTGAGATATAACCATTGATCAGCTTCAAAGAGCTCTCCGTCATGATTTGAAAATTGAGATTAAATCTCTCTGCCATACGTCTTTTCTGTGATCGAGAACAAGTTGAAAGTTTTGCCAAAGAGTTCAAACTGGAAATGTTTCCACCTCAGAACACCCACCCCAGGGTCAAAACTGGCGTTTCCAACTTCTGAGGTTGGGAGAGTCTGTTGAAAGGCAGAGGAGGCAGGCAGCCAAGGGGTTGACAAGTGTTTACATATAAATATAAATATAAATCACTTGCTTTGTTGCTTAAAAGTTTTTGGGTGATGATAGTGCGTGATAGTCCTATTGCACAATGCCATGTAACTAAGTTAAATCTGGAAAGGTGCTTTTTTCAAAAGGCAACTGGACTTTTTTCTTCTTCTTTTTTTGAAAAACTTTCTTCAGTTCAGTTCTGAACTGAAGAAGCTTCTTGGATGAGAAACGAAACGTTTTTCGAAGGAAAAAAAAACAAGAAAAGTCCAGTTGCTTTTTGGAAAAGCACTTTTGAGACAACCATGACCTGAATGATTGAGAAACTCCATAAACATTATCTAAGTTAAGGAAAGAAACTATACTTCGTCCAGTATGATGGTTTGAGTTCACTGAGATCCAAAGGGCAATATCATCATATCCACATGGACTGGTAAACGAATGCTTCACAATATATGTGAAAGATTCTTGTTAAATGGTCAGTCTGCTTTATAAATCCACTTTGGAGGATATCATTCCACCCAGAAAAGTTGATAAGAATTGTACAAGTGAATAAAAATATGCCACAATTCCCAATGATAGTGCATTTCATTCTTAGCGAGTCTTCCGTTGCGCTTAATTATTCCATTCTTCTAATATGACAGAAATTACCTTTTAAGTTGAGATTGAAGTTCAGCTCTAAGTGGCTAGATTCATAATACTGTTTTTCCTAGCCTTTATTTTTTACTTAATACATTGTATAAAACCAATTGCTTTAGGTAATTTAGGTTTAAGCCACCAAGGCCTACTATAACCTTTGAATCAAATTCCTTTTTGTCTGGTGCTCTTCCAATGCCTTCAACTACAACTCTGGAATGGCCATTGACTATGGCACCTATACAAAACTGTGGAAGAATGTCAGGAAAACAAAGTGCCTCACCTGAGTGGCTTCAGTGGTGGTATGCTACTGGTTCGGCCCGGTTCACCGGAACTGGTAGTAAAAAAAAAAGGCCTCTGACGAACAACTGAGAGGAGAAAGAAGAGAAAAGCACAGCATCGGCCCTCCCACCTGTCCCTGCACTTTTCTCTTCTTTATCCTTTCGGCTGATTGGCACTGCAGGCCTCGGCTGGTGTGTGGAGAGCTGCGTGCGTGCGTGCGTTAGGTGTGCATGCATGCAATCACCAAACCGGTAGTGGAATAGGTAGGATCCCACTGCTGAGTGGCATGTTGGTTAATCAGTGCTAACTTTGTTTCCAATAGACAGACAAAGTTGGAAAGGCCTTCAAATACTTGGAGGCTGCCCTGTCCTTTATTGAGTGTGGCATTGCAATGGAATCCGACCCCCTCTCACCAAAGCCAGCCTATACCATGTTCGCAGAAACCATAGAGCTCATTAAGTAAGTAGACAACTCTTTTCTGTTCTACCTGCTGGCTTCAGGTTCTTCCTCTGATGTTCAGAAGTTTCCTCACTGAGTTCACTGTTCCTCCCTGTAGCTTTTTTTGTCCTCTGCCTATCCTGTGAATCCCGTTACCAGGCCTTCCCTGGTTTTACTCCCTATCTAGATCCAAAACCATTCCCCTTCTAGTATTGTTTTTGTCTTCCTCTTATTTTCAGGGCCTTCTAATCAAGTGTTGTATCTTATGATGAATGTATTTTTATGATGGCTATGATCATGATGTATCACTTGTTGCTTGTATGTACACTGAGAAGTTATGCACCGGAGACAAATACCTTGTGTGTCCAATCACGCTTGGCCAATGAAGCATTCTATTCTATTCTTTTCTGTTCGGTTCTATTCTATTTTCTGTTCTACTCTATTCTGATTTCTATTTCTAATCTGATTTCTATTCTGATTTCTATTCTATTCTACTTTTCTGTTCTATTCTATTCTGATTTCTGTTTCTACTCTTGACTTTTATTCTGATTTCTATTCTATTCTGTTTTCTGTTCCATTCCATCCCTGTCCCCATTCCATTGAAGCTAAGGAAAGTAGTATAGCAAGTGCTCTGAGCCCGCTCCAGATAAGATTCAGATATCGCCCTTCTAGTTCAGGAGGTCTGCAAAAGGCAGTGGACAAACCTATTGAGGTCAAGAGCTTCTTAGTGAAGGCTGGAATAAACTCACATATTTATAAATAGTTGGAAGCCAATATAATCACTTACAGTTAGGCTTCTAAGGGAGCCTAAATATTCTCAAATAATGCAAATTAGCAAATGTATAAGAAAGTGAGAAACCTAACAGTTTCTCTCTCTCTCATATTTTAATTCTTATTAACTTCCCCCATTTATCTTTCCTTTTGTTAACATGTATAAAACACACAGACGCTAGTGTAACTTTGCTGCGTTCCTTTTGCTTTGCTTTGTTTAAATAATGAGGGCAATTATTAGCAGTGTTATTGCTTAGTTGTTAGATGAAACCTCCATTAAAAAAAGTTAAATATTCCTTTTTTTCTTTTATTTATTTATTTTGCCTCCAAAGTAGCTGTATCTTGATTTTTTAAAAAAACATTTTTTGAAGAATCTGATACTAAATTGAATCCTCGGATCCAATCATATTACTCCACACTCCTGCTTAATCCTTAAAAAGAGCAAGATAAAGTAATTTCTATTAATTTGGACTGGAGGATGCATGTTTACATTTTCATATCAGTCCCAAGCGCAACAGCTGCTATGAGGTTCTTGTTATCAAAATAATGGCTTCATTCCAGCATCTGCACTGTAGACTCTTGAGCACTGGGAATCCTCCTACATATAATTATTTTCTCATTCTGTTCAACCTCAAAAGCTTCCACTTAGACATCTGGTTCATGGAAGTCACCTTTTCTGGCGCAACTGCTGTTTTTTTTTTTTTTTTAATTAAACTTATCAAAGTATAAAATACGAATGAAAATCAAAATAGTGGAAAAAGAGGGGAGGGAAAAAGGGGGGGAAAGGCATAGAGCCAAGGGGGAATAAAGAAAGAAAAACATTGACTTTGACTCTCTTTAGCGCTGTAGAATAACTTTATAACAAAACAACCTCAACTTATTTTTTACATGCTGAACATTTACTAGCTATTACTGTAATAGCAAGTTTGTCTAATCAGCAAAACCCAAAGTCAATGTTTCTTTTTTTTCTTCTCTCCCCTCAAGCACAAAATCTAGAAACGGTTCCCAAGGATGATTAAATTGGTTAATTTAGCTACCTCTGCTAGTTCCACCTGTTTTTTTCCAGACATTCATCTATTGTGGGAATTGAAGTAACTTTTCAATTTTGTGCATAAAGCGGTGTTTTCTCAACCCGGGCCATTTTAAGGTGGGTGGACTTCAACTCCCAGAATGCCGGCTGGGGAATTCTGGGAGTTGAAGTCCACCCATCTTAAAATGGCCCAGGTTGACAGACAGTAACATTAAAGCATTCTTGCTGCTGTCAAGTAATATAATAGTAAGGTTCCAGACTCCTCCGCCCCCCCAAGTTCTTCTCTGATGTATTAATAAGCCTGGCCTTCATAGCTCTGCTGAGACAGCATTTGTAAAAAAAAAGACGTGCTGGATGTTATTCTCCCCATATCATTCATCACTTTTGTCAGGAAGTTAAGAGGTCAAACAGATTTCTTCTTGGTTACTTCCCTAACCAGAGAACATGACACATTTGCTACCTTGAAGACTCTTTCTGGACCAAGGAGATACCTAAATTCATCTCCTGACCACCACACAATAGCTGTCACATATTTTAGGGTTCAACCTTCAGGGTGCCTGATGAGACTCATAAATGAGAAATTCTCAGCAGTTCAACTAACCTAGTCATGGCTTGTTCTGCCTTTTTATGTTATGTCTGTCTGCCTATTTATTTCTCCATTAACTTCTGCATGTTTGAGTTGGGCCAGAACTAGGGAAGGTATTTGAAGGAGAGGATATTAGAAATTAAATGAAATGAGGTAATGAAATTTAGGAAGGAGATCTGGAAAAACTATGCTGTTGGAATCTTTGAGGATTTTTCCCCCCATTATCTGCCCAATTCTGTAAAACTAACTTTCTGTTTCACTGCTAGTTCAGGGCATCACAATATTATGCTTGTATATGCTGATGGAACTTAAATAAAGTGTTAATTTGTCTTCCCACAGATTCATAATGACATTAAAATCCTTTGCGGACTCTTCAACAACCACACAAGAAAAAATCTTCATTGTTTTTTGGTGAGTGGCTCTGCGTTCTGTTTCCAAGCATTCTAAATTAAAATAGCAATAGCTCTTAGACTTACATACTGCTTCACAGTGCTCTACAGCTCTCTCTAAGCAGTTTACAGAGTCAACCTATTGCCCCGAACAATCCAGGTCCTCATTTTACCCATCTGGGAAGGATGGAAGACTGAGTCAACCTTGAGCCTGGTGAGATTCGGACTGCCAAATTGCAGGCAGCCGGCAGTCAGCAGAAATATCCTGCAGTACTGCACTGTAGCCACTGCGCCACCGCGGTTCATATAAAAAAAACTTAAATGCCTAGCTTTCTACTTTGCTTTGATGCAATGTGTGATGACTCTTCAACTATGGGGAGCAACATTCTAAAGAGTTGCATATAGTCCATGTTTGTTGTGTTTTTACAGCATGCGCTGCCAAGCCATTCTGTACATGGCAATGTTTCGCTACAAGAAGGACACAGCAATAAAGTATTCCCGGACTCTTAATGAACATTTCAAGGTAGAGAGTGAAAAAATTTGATTGGAAAGTGGAAGGGAGGATGTTTCCAACTATATTATGTCAGTGGGTAAATGATTTTCCTAAGTGAAGGATTAATATCTGAATAGTGTAACAAGTTATTTTCAAAGTTTTTTTTATATACAGTATATTTTATGTATACATTTTTCTTTAGTAAACATAAAAATCCAATTTCTACATGAACAGTGTGTTGTCTGGGTACAGTTAATTTTGAGAAATAACAATATTCATAGCATTGATAATAATCACATATGTGCTTATCCATATTAATAAACCTTCATTGTATTCTATTAGCTAGCCATTGGTAGAATGAATCCAATGTTAAAAAATATACCATTTCTTCTTAATTTTAAGTGTTAATCTATCCATTTCTGCACATTCTAATATTTTTTTTTATTACACTTTCATCTGTAAGTATCTCTTCCTTGTTCCACTGTATTTTCACCAATATTTTTGAAGTTTTATAGTACAGGTAGTCTTCAACTTACAACAGTTAACTTAGTGACATTTCAAAGTGACAATGGCACTACAAAAAGTGCTTTAGGACCGTTTTTCACACTTATGACCATTGCAGCATCTCCATGTGATTTACATTCAGATGCTTGACAACGGATTCATATTTATGACGGTTGCCATGTCCCGGGGTCATGTGATCATGTTTTGCAACCTCCTGGCAAGCAAAGTCAATGGGGAAGCCAGATTCACTTAACAACCAGGTTACTCATTTAACAACTGCAGGGATTCGATTAACAAACGTGGCAAGAAAAGTCGTAAAATGGGGCAAAACTTACTTAACAAATTTTTCACTTAGCAACCTAAATTTTGGGCTCAATTGTGGTCATAAGTTGAGGACTATCTGTATTTGATTTATATAGTTTTATTTTTTTAAAAAAAATATTTAAGGGAGTTACCCTTGTGGGAAGATGGGCAGCCAATAAATCTGATTGGTGATGGATTAAATAAATGAATGTTCATGAAAAATAAGTGCTTCCCTTCTGTGTAAGTAAAAAGATGAGTTGAAGTTACTTGTGATCTAAATAGAATTTCCTTGCTTATTACAGAGTTCCTCTAGAATTGCCCAAGCACCTTCTCCATGCATTGCAAGGTAATATCATTTATTCAACTTATTCTTGTTACAAACATTAATTTTCTTTTTTGGTTAATTGTAAGGTTACATGTAGACCAAAAGCATGTATTGGTTGGAAGCCAGTTTGATGAGCTCTCACAATATAAATAACTTTGATCAGTTTAAAGATGCACTAATCCTCATCTTGTCTAGCACATTAATTAGTTAATTTCTCAGACTCATCGCTTATCACTTTTGATTTGATGGCCTCTTGCTGTGGAATAAGGAGGATTAGCTTCTGAGTAGACATGTAGAGGATTGCCTAGCATTTTGCTCAAAGGAAACTATCTCAGAAGATACTTTTGGACTGAGGAGATCTGAGTTCAAATCCTTCTCCAGTTATAAAACTCATAGGATCCATAGTTTAGACTAAAGCAAGGTCTTCCTTCCTTCCTTCCTTCCTTCCTTCCTCCCTCCCTCCCTCCCTCCCTCCCTCCCTTCCTTCTCTCCCTCCCTCCCTTCCTCTCTCTCTTTTCCCTCCCTCCTTTCCTTTCTTCCTTCCTTCCACCCATCCATCCATCCATCCAGAACATTAACATTTCTCCAAAAACAGAATATGCCACACTTCGTAATGTCAAGGTCCTCATCAGAAATTTAGAAATCAATAGAATTCATGCTTAGGTACATGGAAGTTGAAGTCTAATGGAAGGAAAGGCACCAGGCTGGGAAAAATTAATAGAAATAGCTTTGAAATCAATAGGACTTAAACAAGTCATAGTAACTGAACAGGTTGTTGATGTGTAAAATGCACTTGTTCAAAGTTTAGTAAAAAGATAAGTCTTCAACTTAAAATCAGAATTTGCACCAGAATTTGCACCAGAATTGATAAATGGTGACCAATGCATGCTAAGCATTGGAGATCAACCAAAGAAGGAATGAAGCAGGAGATTTGGGGCAAAACAAGGTCATACTATTGATAAATAAGGCAGCTAAGTGAATCATGCCTGCTCTTACAACCTGTTATGCAATGGTGAATCACTGCAGTTGTTAAATGAATCATGCAGCCTTTAAGTGAATTCAACTTCCCCCATTGAAATTTGCTTGTCAGATGGTCGCAAACGACCCGAGGACACTGCAGTCATCACATATACATCCCTGTTACCAGTGGTGAGATTCAAATATTTTTTACTACTGGTTCTGTGGGCATGGCAGGAGAAGGATACTGTCAAATCTCCAGAGGTGGGATTTGCCGGTTCTCTGAACTACTCAAAATTTCCGCTACCGGTTCCCCAGAACTGGTCAGAACCTGCTGAATGCCACCACTGCCTGTTACCAAGCACTCACATTGTGTTTGTGTGACTGCGAGGACACTGTGGCAATCCTAAGTGTGAGGGCTTTTTCCAGCGCCTATTGCCGCTTTGAATGGTCGCTGAAGGACAATTCGAGGACTACCTGTATTCCCCGCAAATCTCCTGCTCTGTTTTCCTTCCTTCTTTGTTTTTCTCACCTGTGCTCAGCATGCATTGGCCACCAGGCACACTAGGTCCTCTTTTAACCATTTATTGGAACTTAAAGTTAGAAATCCTTTTCAGCTATTTCTCACCCCCCCCCCCCCCCCCCCCAAAAAAAAAAAATTTGTTCATGCCTCCTCCTTAGGCTTCATTCCTTCTTAATGTCTGGTTCTACTTGGTGTGTTTATTGAATGTAATGCCGTGTGCCCTCTTGTGTTTCATCCTCCAGGAGCACTGGCACCCCTTCTCCGCTCTCCCCGATGCCTTCTCCGGCTGGCTCAGTCAGCTCCCAGACGGGTTCCAGCGCCAGCAGCTGCGGAAGTAGCAGCCTCGGCTCCTCAGTCAGCGTCCCTCATTATATCCCGACCATCACCTCCTCCTTCGTTAACATCACTTCTTATATTCTGTACGCCTACGACTTCTGGGAACAAGCTGATCTTTTGGCTAGGAAAAATAAGAGTAAGAGCTTGTTTGCTTGTTCGTTGGTTTCTTACTGACTTGCAAATTCAGTTTCCTGAAGTTCCATTCCCCCTTGAGGACAATTTTGTGCATAGTTTTTGGCAAGTTCATTTTGGAGAATCTGAAGGTCAGCAGCACCACCAGTTTTTCTTGCTGGCAAGAGACTCTGCTTGCACCCTCAGGATCTACTCCTAGCCAGAGTAAAACAAGTATGATGTTGATTGGTTCCTGTTAATCAAATGTTTATCAGCTCATTACTAATTACCAATCAACATCATCATCATTTAACGACCCTGTAATCTTTTGCGGGGTGGAATCTGGGCAATTGAATGGAACTAGCGGAGTGTTTTAATTGGCCGGATGCCTTTCCTGTTTCCAGTGCAGAGTTTTGTTCAGCAGATATATTCTCAGTGTGCCCAGAGAAAGAAATATCTGCCTCTACCTAGGATTGAACTCATAGCCTCCTGATTGTGAGGCGAGAGCTCCACCTCTAGCCCACTGTGCCACTCCTCAGCACAAATTACCACTAAAGGAGAATATTCATAGCTCAGGGTTGAAATGAAGAATCCTTGGCGCTCTCTGAGTTTGGTTGTTGTCTTGTGGACTTTCCAAACTGGCTAATATCATCAGTGCTCAGTACAAATTCTTCATTTGAAGTACACTAGCTAGACCCAGACCAAAAAAACAATGCTTGGACTAGATTATGGCTACCATTGTTGCTGTATTGAAATACACGGGTAACCCTAATTCTTGGAAAGGAGAATTATTGCATGAATAATAAAGTGGTTGCTTATTGGATTATTATCTTCAAGTAACCCATATTAGTAGCCAAGGCCAAAGTTTTGAAGAAAATAAGACTTAGAAAATTATTTAAGGGGGAAAAAACCTTGAATTTTGCTGAGATAACTGACAATTAAGTTAAAACTAAAACACTTTTCGTGATTAATCATTCTATTGAAGTTTTCCATGTGGATAGAATGAAAGATAGGATACACATCTGGCTGGGGAATTCTGGGAGCGGAAATCCACGTATCTTAAAGTTGCCAAGGTTCAAACATAGAACAGTGGTTGGAAAAGAAAGGGGTGGAGATTACGAATAGAATCGAATTTGCTAAGCAAATTAAATACCCAGATAACACAATGTTTATTAAGCACTAGGAAATGTAATTAGTAGAACATTAATAAAAAAAAAATTTTTTTTTAAAAGTTGGCAAGGTTGAGAAAATGTGTTGTGCAGGTTTAAGAACCAGAGGCTTCTGGCTAAGCATGTTTAATTCAAGAATCAGACATGATGCTTTTCTTTTCTTTTCTTTTCTTTCTTCTTCTTTTCTCTTTTCAGAATTTTTTTCCAAGCTCAGCGCTGCCGCCTGCTTTCTCTCGCTGAACAGCAGTATGATTGAACTCGTACACTACACCCGTCACGGATTGCAATGGCTGAGACTGGAATCAAATATGCCTTAATGGGTGATTCAAGGTGAAGATTTTGCCTTGGACTCTGTTTTGCACTTTGAAAGCCTCCTAAATAAAGCCTTTGTGGGCTGACTGGTTGGATTTGAAAAAGGAAAGGAGAGGAGAGGAAGAAAAAAAAAAAAAAGCACCTGGAACAAGTTTGAATTAAGCATGATGGAAGGGATCTGGCACCACTGGAAAACTTTTATTATTAGAGGCTGCATTTCTACTATGCCAATGGGCCACTTAGAAGATAAAAGAGTGAAGAAGAGGGCCTCAAAGTGGAAGAAAATGCTTTTCTTTCAAAGGACAAAGTGCAATTGTCTCCTTTCTCTACCCCTCCCCTCCCCTCCCCCCCCCCATTCCCATCATGGTTTCTTTGTGTCAATGGTCTATAAACATTTCTAGTAATGAATAACCAGCAAGATAATCGATCAGTCGGCACAGTGAAGAAGCACCAGTGAAATCCATTTCCCAAAGAATTTTCTACAACACCTAAGGGATGCACCGATATCCAGGGGTGCCCAGTGCATGATTCTGAATTTTATTTTATTTTTTTTAAGCATAAATCACCAACTCCTCTCAGTTCTGGCAGGTGGCAGAACCCGGATAACTGGGTGGCATTTCTTCAGCCATAAATTGATTTTTTTTTGTTAAAACTCAACTTCCCGTCTTGCTTCTCCATGGCCAAGTGTTGCACTATTTCTTCTGTTCTCCTGACCTGTATGTAGTAGGCCTACCCCATTTTTTTTTTCCCCCCAGTTTGCTTTTTTTCCTTTCCTTGTTCATTCGTTTGTTTTGGCTATTTGTAGCAGCAGTTGTAGCCGTTTTCAGCTGTCTTGGGGTGGTCATTTTCTGATTCTGCATTGGGCACATTGACAATCTCATGAAAGCAGCAGCTCATGAGGCGGCCTACGGCGTTAGAATCATGTTGGGGCAGAAAATTCAGTAGATGGGATGTTGTCCCTCTCTAAATTAGGGGTGTGGTGCCGGTTCATCCCTGGAGTAGCTGTGATAAAATAACACTACTAAGAGGAGTGGGTTGCCACCGTTGCTGTTAAAGATGCTGCTCGGTTAGATCTTAGTAACTCCACCCAGAGGGTACGAGGCTAAGAAGGGACAGAATCCCCTAGCACAGGGGTCTCCAACCTTGGCAACTTTAAGACTTGTGGACTTCAAC